TAACAATACTACGCTAAAATGTATAATTAATTTTCTTTATACTATAAGTAAAAATTGAGTAAATCCATAAACACTTTGGATCCATTTTTTGGTGTCAATACTCATTATGGCGTTAAATACCACATGAGAAACGCTAAAATCAGAAAAAAAGGTTTTAAAGGTACTTAGAACATAAGTGGAAATCACAACGCTCCAATATCAGACCTCCAAATCTAATTTCAAGCAATATGAAAAACATATACACCTACCCATTATTCAGATTGCATGCGTTAGTAATATTCAGCTAATCTGATACATAATATGGTGTTTTCGTTTTCTTCAGGCTCTGTCAGCTAAAGATCTTGTTCTACGGTTGTAAGTTTGTCAAATGATCAATCCGGCATCCGTAAGGCGGAAAGATTAGGACTGAATTATTACCTTGGTTATTTATGTCACCAATTGAACTCTATACAGCTAGTTTCCAAAAGGTTGTCACGTAAAAAATGTCGGTAGAGATAATATCTTAATAGACACATTTTCTACTACAAAGCATGATGGGAAATTTAGGTCTTCAATTTTTTTATGTCATGAAAAACAATCCACCAATTAAAATCTATTTTTATTTTCATTTCTTTGTTACAATGGAAGTATTTTGTGCCATTTCTGTAAAGAATGCGTAAATGAATCTTGGGAACTACACCTAATCGAAAACGTAGTTCGTGTTCGAAAAGGTCACATCATAGAAGCTAACTAAGACCGAAAGGGATTTTGAGTACCACTAAATTGGGATTACATTTGCATATACGGTGTTTAACATGGTGCACGGTAAAGCAACTAGAGCTAGTAAGATTAACAGCATGCTAGTCTTATATGCTGGAGAGCTGTTTGTATGAAATTAGCCAAATTGTTTGTCTTCCCAAGTACCTTTTCGGTCTTAGCTTCTATGATTAGACCTTTTTGGACCCGACAACGTTTCTTCAATTAGGTGTATATTCTGACCGATAAAAAAGAGCGATCTCGCATCATGCTTTGCTCTACAAAATGGCGGCACTGAGGATTGTTTGTAAAAACGCTTTCAACATTGTTTGTGCTGCCTTTATTCGCTTTAGGCGCTAAAAATAATATAGGACTAATAATTCTTGAATGAAGCGTAGTATTAGAGTAGGCGAATGCTTTGATTGAAGTTATTTTTACCAATTTTTTATTTTAATATTTGCTGTTGATTTTAGACGATATTAGAAAAGTAATAATCACAATTCTCTACCCAAAAAGATATAACATGCGAATTGTTTAATTTTTTATACAGTATGATTCCATAATATTGTTGACTTTCCTTGTTTTCCGACTAGTAGATATCGGCTTTTGACTCATAGTATTTATGTTTATAATTAGTTTGGGGAGTGCTTGCGTGCTCGCTTATAATGTTCTTATCTTTTAAGAGTATCATATCATGGATTCCCTGGACTAAGGGATTCAATAAAGCTTTTGACTTATAATAACCCGAGCTAAGAAATGGGAGTGAAGCATCGCTCACTCCATTGTATATAATGCCGGAAATAATTTGACTTTGAATTGAAAATAGAAAAACAAATTTCCAGCGATATACGAGCTCATTTATTTGATTAATGCATTGCCATGAGTAATGAAGAAGGAAATATGTTTAAACTAATAATGACACTGCTACATATTTAAGTTCGTCGTTGTTGTTGAATTTAGTAACAATTTCCTGAAATAATTACTTTGTGTTTCTCCGGTCATTAACTTCAAACCGGATTCAAACGAGGATTGTTAAGACTTTATTAGATAATTTAAAAAAAAGTCGACAAGAAAGAATACATTATAAACTGAGATAGAATGTCACGTGATCCTAAAGCGCTTTGCGCGCGCGCGTCAATTTCGCGCCAAAAATACAACAATTTCAAAAAGGACGGATTTCACTCTCAAATACTGCCCGTATAACATTTCTTTATACCAATTTTGATATTAACTATTATCAAAATCTTTTTATTGCCAAATTAAGCCACAAATGTATGCAACATTACTGTAACTTAATGAATTCAACATTCGTAGTCGCTTTGATATAGAAAACGGTTGCATTAATGACTCATTTAGCAAATGTCATCCATAAGTTACAGCGGTTAAGCAAAGGATGCCTTTGTCAGTCGAAGTAATTTAGTCAAATGTTTGGGTACYTTTTTCACACAAACACTCGTAAAATATGAAGGATAAATATAGTTTTAAATCTATAAGGCGCCAATTTTTGACAGGCTTTKTTTCTATTCAAAGACATTTGCTTTCACTATTTCATTTCACTATTTCATTTCGAAATCATCGCTGATGTAATTACTTCTTATCATTTCGCATTAATATATTCAATAATTACAAAGAACACTGACCAATTGTTTCCAGAAGCTGGCAGTACACTGTATGGCTTGTRGGATTATAGCTGACTATAGTTTTCAAAGAAAAAAAACAGCAACGAACAACATCAATAAATAAACTAAAAAGGAAAACATGTGCTTCATCTTTAGAAATGCTATGGCATTTTAAATTTTTTTGCATTGCAATTCGTTATTCTTGCCCTTTCGAGAGTCTTACCTCTTGAACAAACAGCGAAAATCACTGTCGAAAACGCCTTGCGTTTTTTGGTTTGCTTCCGTTTCATTCACCTCCACGCTGAATTTAGCAAGAAATAAGATTATGCAAGCACGCGAGAGAGTTTAAAACAATTCTTAAACAGCTGTTTGTGCAAACGTTTCCGTCATGAGTCAAGGATTTCATCCGCGAAAGTAAAAGGAAATTTGTCTTGTAAATTAATTATTTAGTTTTAAGAATAATCCACTTAGAAGTTTTCTTTGTTTTTGACTACACGCGGCGAGTAAAGTATCATTAAGACMWACACTCAGGCGGGGATTTTTGGGCTTAAAAATCTACTCAGTGTCTAGAAGCGATTCTATCCGTCTAGAGTAAACAGTGATCAGCCGATAGTAGTAATCAAAAGAAATTATTATACATAGAAGATGTTTTAAAAAGACTTTTTGTGACAGTAAATACGAGATTTATCCCGTCTTGTCAAACATAAGAATTGCTGTATGTCTTCTAAAGTTCATATAAATCATGATGCATGATATTTTGAGAGTACTTTTTGAGTGTCCGAGTTAAAGCTTTTTATGGCAAAATTAGATCAACTGACTCTCGTCTCAGTCTTCCCRCATCTTTCTCTTTCACTAACGCTTTTGGCTTGGGCGTAACCTTAAGGCTACCTGCTAGGACTTCACCCAAGAGAGACGTTTGTCAACTTCTTTTGCAACCGTCTTTAGCGACTGAACAGCTTGACATTTTAACTTGATTTTAATCGTTTCACGTAACAGTTTCACGGAAAAAGTTCGGCTCCGATTCAAACGTTTGAATACTTATATTTTCGACGATAATTTGTGAATATATTTTAGCTTTTTGGTCTGGAGCGGCGAAAGTACAACGTCGATCTGAACCGGCCCTTTCAAGTTTCCAGTCTATCTTAAAAGTATTATGCAAAGTTGCTTTCCGATTATTGATGTAATATATGCAAACTTACCTTTTATATAAACACTAGGCAAGAGAATCCTTTCAAAAATAGCATTGAAAACGTAGCGACAAGCATCACGGTAGGACGCATCAATTTCTTAGAGATTACCAGCACTAGACGTGCAAGACTTCACGATACTGAGTATTTTTAGCAACTCTTCTGTATAAAAATATTGGAACTTAATAAACCCACACGAAAAAGATATTACTGGTTTAGTCAGCGGCGAATATTTGATGACACGGTTGTGCGAGGGCGTCGTAAACGAGGCTTCCCTTCTCACTATAACGTTGGTTGTTGAACTACGAGGCCATTGATGTTCAGGCCAGAACAAAGGATGGTGGGAAATGTAGCACTCTCGCTTTTTTAATCTCTTTTGAAATAATCCCCAATATCATCTTTTTAAAAAAATACTATGCAATTTGGACGTTCATTTTAGAAAGTAATGTTACTATTTCATATCAAAAAAGCCCGCTCGCAAAATCAGCCAAGTAATATTGCCATCTTGAGCATCAAAAACAACATTCCTATAAAATATGCATCTTTTTTTTYCCAGAAATCTTCCTTATTATACAATATTGAACTGATTCAACGAGTCACGCGTGAGTGAAATGCTTTAGAGCGGAGCTTGCGCAATGCTCATCACGTTCACGTTGTCAAACAAGCCGCTTGGTGAATCAATTGATTGATATGTGGAGACATTCCATACTCTAAGCACTTCTCTTGATTTAAAATAAAAATCCTATTATATATATTATAGTATTATAAGCAAAAACGTGTTTTTTTTTAATCCCTGTATGCTATATATGGAGTTATCACCATTTTAAACGCGACCGCAATGAATGTCGGTTGACATTGACCCTTTAAGTACTACACTCAAGTGCCATATTGGATTGGATAAAAAAGTTAGCTTGTTTCTTATGGTCCATTAAGTTTCAATAGCGAAACTTATTGTTATTGATCTGGAGGAGTCGGCTACATTTCAGTGAAAAAGAAACGTCTTTTATTGAGAAATAATTATTAAAAGAAGTACATATGCACTTCTGTTATTGCTAATCCTTGACTTTTCACTCTTGTTCAGAATCAAAATTTGAACCAAAATGTCAAGATACAGATATGTTTTCTGCTACGTGCCTGAACGCTTTCTTTATATACTTATTTCAATTACGTTGCTCACTTCAAAAACATGAAAAACACAGGCGAGACCGAAATGTATTGTGGGTACGTAGTTTTGAACATTCTGAAAATGCTGCGTGCTACCCAATCTACCTCGGGCCCACAGTCGATTTCCGCTGAATGGCAAAAGGGTGGTCAACCAACAAAGACTTATGTGTGAGAAAGGTCCATACCAGTCAGTATTKTTTGCAAATGTATGAAGTATATTTCCCCACTCCCCAGGAAATTTAAGTAGTTTCATCTTTTGGAGCGACGAAATTTTAAATAAATGGAAAAAAATAAGTATCTGCAAAACATTTTATTAAAATTGCACAATATCACACTAAATGATAAAGGCTTTTTTCAACACATTTGCACACTTTTGTAGTCAAACTACTTCATGGATTTATTGAATACTACAATTACTACAGTTCCATGAAATGTGAATTGATTAATTAATCATTAATTACTTATCAAACATTAATTATTTATTGCCTAGTTGTTCGAATCGTTTACATGCAGCTTCRACAGCACTCATCATAGCACCCCGAACTCCACCTTTCTCCAGCTCATGGATGCCACAGATAGTTGASCCTCCTGCTGAACATGTCTCATCCTTGATCTGAAATAAGTAAGAGATATGTACTTATTACCCGGAGCTGAGCCTAACCTAACTGTACTCCATTTTTAACTCGAAGATTGCGAAGMAATCGAAGAGTTATAGGAGGGAGATGWGGGAGATGATGTGTGAGGGGGACTAGTTAATTAGTCAMTAATTTTTTTTCTGTAAACATACGGGCATTTAGAAATCCGTAACCAAGATGGCCAGGTGTTTTGATACAGAAATGGATTTTTAAACACACAAAATGTGATTTKTGAGGSCTGGAAGTTCTTGTATAAGAATCTGTTGATTTCAGAAGTCGTTTTAGGAGATATMGTGTGAATATGGCTCATAAATACAGCATTGCTATTACGATGATTTCAAGGRTTATTCCGATCCACGTCGATTAGTGATTTAATTCTCATYGATTCATATAAACTTTATCCTTCGTAAGAGGCTTTATACAGACTTATGTCCAGATTTATTGTCTRACAATCTTCGAGTTGTGTCGCCATTGGCGGCWTGATTGAATTCAAAGTGAGCTTGATGCTTACTACGCTAGCTAGCGTAATATTGTAGGTGTTGTCAGTGATAAAATGATAATTTTGTACACCGTAAAAATTGAAAGAGAAGTTACTGATGTTTTGAATGTTAGTCTTCTAACCAAAAGCATCATTTGGGGTCCCTRTGGTATAGCTCGACCTTGACAGACATAGATAGATTGAAGAAAAGGTAAAACTAAAGGCGGGCGCATACTGCTAGCCTGCCTAATAAACCGCTGTTTTATTTGACAGCAGATTCTCTTTCCTACTTTAGAAAATTTTGTTGATGAATAATAYTAATAATAAACACCCAGTTTCTGCAGGCAACTATCACAGCATAATTCAACTGCTCTATTGGTTTAAATAGATGGATATGACATGTATTTGCAAGGCAATCCTAACCTGAGCAGGATGCTTTCCTGATTGGTCCACAACAGTACCAGCTCCTTGAACGGCCAGTGCTGCAAACTTCATGGCTATAGGTCTTGGTAACCCAGCCTTGACAGCTCCGTCAGCCAATGATTCAATAACAAGACATGCGAACGCTGAGCCACTCCCACTTAATGATGCAATAATGTCAACATATGGTTCTTTCATCTCTTCAACATATCCTGAAATATTAAAAACAGGGATATAATTACTAGTAAGCTTACAAAGTTGCAGAGGAACAAGGGATGAAAGGCCTTTTGTCTTTTTGTCTGAAACATCACAAGCCGATTGGAATTTATCTTGTGATTGGTTGAGAAAACAATGGAAAAACAATAGATGCTCTTACAAAAAAAGAAAGCGTAGTCTAAGAAAAGAAGTTTAGAACCAAAGAACTTATTTTGGTGGTTAAAATAATTTGTCTGTTATATTCCTAATGTGTAATAGGAATTTTTATATATTTTTTCTATAAAACTTTCAGAGCTTTTATAATTATACATTTTTGGTATTATCATGGTGTTTTCTTTTGCCATAATTATGGGTTCAACAATATGATGTGCTTGCTAGTTGCAGTCATTTAGGGCATTCCTCTATGTTTATCAATCTATTTCTATGTTAGCTGAACAATAAAAGTGTTGATAATGATTATCATAATGATAACCTGTTGTTGACATCAGTTTATGGACCATCGCTGCATCTTCCCTTGTTGCCATGCTACCGCATACAAATGCTGAGGCACCTTTCTGTACAGAACATGGAAGACTTGGCATCACTCGCACAATGCGCTTTACACCGTGATCCTGTGAAGACGAAAAATTCACTTTGAAAATAATGTCAAGTAGCAAAGAAACAATAATAGTCTTCTTCACGGTTCTCTGCGCCATCTTTTAGCCATATGCCTTTACMTTGAAGCGAGACAACTGTTGACCGTGCAATGACAGAAACCTTCTTTCACACCTACAGACAATTATTCACAGGTATCTATCATTGCACACTCAACGGTTGTCTTGCTTTGATGTAAAGGCACGGCTACCTTTCAAGATGCTGCACATAACCGTAAAGGAGACTATTCTCACTTTCCTTCATTTATCCATAATAGATAAGTCTGGTTTTCACTAGTGACCATCAGTGACCATACAAATTGGTGAATTGCACCATGGCCTAATGGTCTTCTTCCTTTACTTAATAAATGCTATAGTTTTACTAATCTTGAAAGGGAAGGACAAATTAGAATTACAAAGAAAAAAAGCTGAGTTTATTCTGACTGGTTTTGGTAGCATTAAAATGACACCATGATATTCATGGAAATCACCTATTTGATAAAACAAAATTAGAAAATTGAAAGTATTGACAGTTTTTAAGCTTTTTTCTACCCTGTAAAAGTTTACATTGTATGTAGTACCTCGTACACTTGAATTTTCAGTCCTGCAGCTACYGATATCACCAGATGTTTGCTTGTAAAATCATTTTTAAGCTCAGTTAGAACACCTCGRATAAGATGAGGTTTAACAGCAAGGAAGACAATGCTTGCACTTTGAAGAACTTCTTTATTGCTCTTAGTTCCTATGCAACCTAATTTCTGCAACAAGGAATAAGAAGTGACTCRGAAATAACAAYAATAATTTATTATTCATATTGTGCAGRCTACAYATGAAGATGTTTGCATGCGCATGTCCAAAATTAATAAAAAATAAGATTCAAACGAAAATAAAATTGAAAGCTAATAATAATTACAATAAACAAAATTGTATTTACAATTAAAGGCGGTCAATTATGAAATAAAGGGTTTAAAAATGACAAATGAAAACAGGAAAAATAAAACAAAGAAGAAAATTATGAAAAAGATGGATGTAAATTTTAGAAGATACGACAAATTGGAATTAGTACAGAATGGAAAAAAAGAAGTTTGAAAACGAAAAAGTCAAATAGAAAATCTGTGAAAAAGTTTCCAAACTCTAAGATTAGGAATGGTGAGGTTGCACTATTAGGCATCAACCTCACATATCTAACTTCCTCATGTTTGTAAACTGCACAGCTGCTTAAAGCGCCTTCAATAGCAGTCTGACCAAGTCCCTCATAATGTAATCCAGATGCAATTCAGATCATTGGTCTGCAAAATCTGGAAAGTCGGCTACACATACACATAGACAAAAAGGTCTCTATCCCAGACAAAATGACTATACCCTACCCCAGACAAAATGACTACCCTACCCCAGACAAAATGACTACCCTACCCCAGACAAATGGGCAAAAAATGATACCCTATCCCAGACTTGGGGCTCCGAAAAAGGGACCCTATCGAGCGGCACATATCTGTAAAGCAAAAAATCAGGAACTCCTTCTGATTCAGAGTTCTGGAAGAAACCCGCTTATAACACGTGTATGAGGGCAACACAGGCTGCAACATTGAGTAAAACGAAGCATTCAAAATGTACTGATCTTCCTACCTGCCACCTCTCAACGCTTTTATCAGTAACAACACTGACAATAATATTCTTTGGCTCCACAAATCCTGACTTCATAATGCCCTCAGCAATGGCCAAAGCCATGTTTCCTCCGCCAACAAATCCGACACGTAAATCCGCCATCTTGGATTTTAGAGTACATTACACAGGAAGCCCAAAGAACGGGCTAAATGGGCGTGGCACAATCATTTAAGCGTGCAGACGAGCTTTTAGCCTGTCTCCACGCAAGAAACAGCAAGGAGGASAGTGACCAATTTAAACTTGCGACCTTCGAGGTTATAGCGAGACCGAAGTTCATGAATTCATGAATGSATCAATYGCACACCTGATGACTAATCAAACGTAATATTGTCCAGAGYTTGCATTTTTGCTGTCCAGCGTGACATTTCGCCATTAATAAAAATCTGGGCTTGAGATTGGGAAGGGTCGGCTTACAATACATTTTTGAATATATTCTTTTGGGCATAAAGTTTAAATASAAAAAGCAATACGCGAAGGTTTTACATTTTTTTACTACTGTGAAAAATTCAGTATGTAGTCGATGGCCTTTGGATAAAATGACGAAATATTCACAGAAGTAAAACACGACAAACCTTCTCATATTGCTTTTTCTAAGATATGTTTTTTTTTAACGGTCCTTCGATCAACTAGAGACACGAAAATTGTCAATCAATGATTTTTAAGCTTTATCTTTTGACATTAGTAAGTATACAATAGGACTGATTGAAACTTGATGTCTTTCTAGCGAGTAAGGTTAAAAAACCTGCATAACAGATATTTAATACGCTGTAACTCAGTTTTCGTTTCCGTCTATTCTAACATCACCCATGATTTCCAATGTTTCACGGATTTAAAGACCTGTCTGTATCTGACATACGCTCTATATATAGTTTGCACAAAATATCCGTGTTTCAAACCAACAAAATAAACATCTATAATATTCACTGATACTTGAGTTACTGTACTGATAAAATAACTATATTTTTTCCATTCATGACTTGGAGTTTGCCATAAACGAGAGTCTAATACGTGAAGAAATTTCAGTTTACAACTAATTTCTTTTGCACTATCGAATTAATTTAATAGCAATAAAGCCAAAGACAGCAATGCAATTTTCTACTATTAGAGTGAAGTCAAAAAAAACCCGTGAAATAGATATAGACCCCTTGCAGTTCATGGGAATGCAGCTCCAACTGGAGGACAAAACAATAGATTCTAGTTCCCCAGAGGATAAAAATCTTTTGTTTTGTCCTCCAGATGAAGCTGTTTTGACGTCACATGCAAGGGGTCTATTACACTAATACACCCTAATGCGCTCTAGTTGCATTGTTTTCTTTTGTTTCTATTTGACTATCACACTTTAATAGTCAAGTTTTGACAGTTGTAGAGTAAATGCAGAAAATCCGTGAAATAATACAATGATATACAATCCATTAAATGGTGTTCAGAAAGAACAATGATCATACAAAGGTCAAAGATACTCCGGCTTCAGTTGCAGAAATAGTGCAAATTCGTACTATTTTGCCTTTTTTCACGGCTTTAGTGCATTCACTCTGTTGCAGTTACTGTACTGTATCATCAATTCATAAAACACAACTTCGTTATTTTTCCTAAAGAAATGCCAATCCTAATCATTATTAATAATTAATTAATACTAATAGAATATTAATCTAAACACATAGAGTGGTTCTCATTAACCCGTGAAATACACTTTAGCGTAGTACACGTTATTACACTTTGTCTCTTTTGTTTTCTATTATATTTCTTGGCTATTACACTTTATTACACTTTSACTATTACACTTTGTTTCACGGGTTAACGAGAACCACTCTATAACGCTCTTTGCAGGAAGTCAACTGACAAGACAACGACTACATGATCTTTTGAATATGAACGATGTCCAAGTAAGTATGGAAAACATAGATGATTGAGGAATATCTATTGTAGGTTGAGGAATTTGTTGAACTGCATTAAATATTTTTCTTCTTTTGACAGAACTTAACTGAACAGAACTGAATTGAAGTCAAGTACTGCAATGTCCTCATTTGACTTTGATTCAAGTAAAGTGAGTATGGCCAGGGAGAYGTCTGGTAATGGTATGGCTTTAGAGTTATTGAGGTTAGTCGCTGTACTCGTCGTCTTCTTCATAATCGCTTTCACCGGAATCTCCATCGTCGTCTTTCCCTTCTTCATCACTATCAAAGTCCCATTGCTTTGTTTCGAATTCTTTGGCTTCTTCAACTGTTATCTGATTAAAAGAGTGTGAGAATTATTAGAAAATCAAAAATGATTACTTGGCTGGTTGGAAAGTTACAGGCCGGTAGGCTGGGGCATGACAGACATACCTTGAAATTCTGGTGTTGATCAAAGTCAATGTAAGAGTCTGATCTTAATGCCAGGGCGTATTGATAGCTACCAGTCTTTTCTGGAGCTTGGAATTTAAGCTCAACCTGAAACACGATCAAGGTGTTAAAAAATGATGATAATGACGCATGACGTGATGGCTTAGGGACTGTGCAATATTTCTCAGGAGGGGGGAGGGGAAGGTTGAGAATCCAGACAGGGGGAGGTGGGCAAAAATCTAATTTTATGTGCTTAATTTAATAAYTTTRATTGSAAATTGAAAATCAACGGTGTCAGATTCTGTGTGTTTTGCCCAAATACGTATTGAAGTGGAAAACTTCTCAATAAAAGTGGGTAACGATTTGCAACAACTCTTTATTCACGAATAATAAATAAATAAATTCACAGGAGGGGGGAGGGGAGGAAGAGCATAACTTCCTTTGGTTACCTCTTCTTCGTCCTTTAAGCTGGTAATTTGTTGTGGAGGTGTTATTAAAGCTGTTTTTCGTTTATCTGTTACATATATCCACCACCATTCTTGTTTTTCCTGGAATTACCAACTTTCATTACAAATCGTGATATACTTAATATTTAATTCTAATTTATCATTAAACTCGTTAAGTCCATACACAACGCTGGTGTTTTATTCATCAGTATCGTATTAGACACCACGAATGCAACAACACACAATTCAACACTAGCAAAGGTCTAAGTTTAAACATATAGTAACTAAACCCTTGTTAGGTTTTGAAGCTGACTTGTATATGGACTATTTCTATATGTTGCCAGATGACTTGCTCTTCAATGTGGGATAAAAAAATCATTGAAATACGTTATATTGTAGAAACTTGTAAAGCATTTGCCTGTGAGGTTCACGTCTTGTATTTTAGCACAACAGCAGCTCGTGTTGTAAATTTAACTTATGAAAAAGATAGTCCTGCATTGTATCAGTCCCTTCACTTTACGAAAATTTTCACTTTACGAAAATTTTTGAGATCCTACTGTCTGCACTTAACTGATACATCAACAGAACTTCTCTTAAAGAAAGCAACCTTCCCTCCTAAACCATCTTCCTACCTCTGGGAAATAAGGTGCATGTACTGTATGAGTTTCTTTGGATTTCATTTCTAAAATAACTTCATTGGTTTTGACGTCTGCTTGAAGTCGTTGCCATTCTTCTTCGTCTTCTTCTGGTGATTTACCAGTTGATCCATCATTAGACTCATTATCACTTTCTTCACCACTAGAAAAGAAATCATAACTCATGTCAACCAATATTTATAATTTCAGCTTCATCACCATCAGCACAAAGCAACGCTAGGTCAAAAATGAAATCAAGAGATCATCTTGGTGAGTTTATTTTGACATTTTTCATTTCTTGTGACCAGCTAAATATTGTTTTGAAGAAGTGGTACTTTTTGTGAGTATTTCTTACAGTGATATTTAGGATCAAAATGCTATATTTGGGAAACACAATTTAACTTTTTAAGGTGTAATGCCAACAAGCCTTGCACATATCGTCATGGATATTTAGTCTTCTTAAAAGAAAAGTCAGGAATCTTAATTTAGTGGAGTTAAACAATTGATATGAAGTCCAGAATTTACCTAGATTGCTCATCACCACTTTCTGAGCCACTATCAGCTTTATCTTCATCGTTTTCTTCTTCATTTTTGTCTTCAAGATCTTCTTCATGCTCTTCCTTTTCCTTTTTACTTTGACCATCACTCTTGTCTTTAGGTGCATTCTGTAACAAGAAGCATTATAAAAACACGACCTAACACTGAAGATCTTATTTTAATGGCAACGAAGTATTAATTGCCGCTCATGGGTGGATATTTCCATGAACAGCAAATATTTATCTTGATAACTTTTGGTCCTTGCGGCATACGACTTCTCCCTGACTGCAATATGACGACTTTCATAATGGTCGACAATAATTAGCATATTATCACTAAATTCATAATGTTGACAAAAGAAAAAACTCACATGATATTATCAAAGCTAAATATAAGTTATGAAAGTTTCACAGAAAAAAAATTAAATGATGAAGTTATAAGGGTTGGAAGAGGCACAAAATCATCAAAACAAGGCCACCAAGGCCTCAGCAAAGAATTTCATACGAAATCCTTGAATTTTTATTCCTCCATTACTTCGTTAGTAATAAGTCTATATCTTCAAAACGTTACACAAGTACTTATTTCTGATAATTCTTCCATATGACAGTGCTGAATGTTTCCTTAATATTGCCATCATATAGAATCGATGGTAGGCACTTATGTAGCACAGACAATCTTAATCAGTAATTAAAAGGTTTAGGAATAGAGGAATTGCAACAAACACATCACAAACATCGGCTAACCTCTTTTTCGTCTTTATCTTCGCTTCCCTTCTTCTTAAGAGGCTGTTTAACAGGTTTCTTTTTGACTTGTTTATTCTGTTTCGGCTTTTTCCCCTTCTTTTTGTTCTTTTGCCAAACTTTTGTAGCTTGAGGTGAATCCTTTAGAATTGAAGTGTATTGTAAAATACATGTAATACTTTAGTGTTATTCACAAATATTAATTGTTAGTCAAGAAAAGTTTAACATGAAATAAATACCTTTGGTTCTGGTTTGGCTTCGGACATTTCACTATAATCTGTTGTCTCTGAAATTGTACTTTCTTGTTCAAATATTTCCTAACAAAAGTGGATTATTAATTTCGTTAAATTAAATTCAATAGTTCATGATATTATTATTCACTGTAATATTGCATGCAAAGTACAAAGCGCACGATATAAGTGTTTGAACTGTTCTGACTTTCGTTGCATTTTGAAAATAGTGTCTTTACTCCAACGAAGGATTAACGTCCGAAACGTCAGTAAGTTGATTCAACTACTTTCTATGGTGTTAAATTTATCTAAGTTTTACGCAACTGTTAAGATTACAACCTCTTTTTATCCCTGATGATGGGTTGTAAATCTAAACATAGCAAACAAATGCAATGTGGATGAAACAATTTTTGCTTTATCAATGATTCCCAAGTATAGATCTCATTTAACCATTAGACCATCTCGTGTATTTTCATTTGGTAACATACATGATGTTTGTACATGATGTGAAAAATGAATTCCTCACCCCTAAAGAACGTCTCTTAAGATTAACAGTGACTGTTACTATATCCCCAACAGTAATAAGAGTCTTGTCTTCTGTGTCATCAAGGACTAGGGCGAAATAAATAAGAGAATTAAAGAGAAAAAATAGTGCAAAATGGAAAGTGGGAAATTGGGAAGGAAAAACTCAGACAAATAAACAAAAGGAAGACTAGACATACATACCATGTGCTCTGACTTCCATTTCTACTAATGGAT